ATTTACATGATGAAATAAAATAGGATAAATAAGGGAGGGGGGTTGCAGTCCAAGTCTGTGGCATACGTATATGTGCTCCTGTGTCCTTTCTTTCTCTTGTTCCATGTTCATGTTAACCCTTTAAGACTGTATCCTCAGTTATATTCTAACCCTATTTACAAAAAACAAAATTATTGTCTTCCTGTAAAACAAAATGTGATGTGTTCTTACGCAACCATTTCAAATTAATTGTTACTGCTTTAATTTTTTAATTTTATGTGACTAACATCAAATCTTTACACTTTGAAGAATTATTTGGGTGTAAACTTGGTGTATGGTGATTTATAAACTGAAAGAAAGCTCAGCTATACAGCACTGTAGCACTGATGAGGGAAACTGGAATCACCAATAAATTTAAATACTGCACACATTTAAGTGCAGCCAAGTTAATACTTAAATTATTCTTTTTTTTTAAATGGGTTTAATTAATAGGAATGAGGATTAAGTTCTATTAAGTTCTGTTAACTTACTATAAATAAAGATAAACTGTAAAACCTTCGTCGTATCGGCCCACAGGAGCTCCTTTCTTTATCCATGTGACACTGCATTAATGCACAATAACACAGAAATGTGGAGCCTCATGTGAGCGTTAATATTAAAGCATTAATACTGAACATGAAGTTTTAACATATTTTTAATGCTAATTAGAATAAAGAACAAGACAAATTACATCAGTTTGGAAACTGAAAATAACTGTTAACCATCCAGTTAATTTAATTAATATTCATTAGAGCAGAGCAGCAGGAACATAAAACATTTTTACGGCTGTGAAAATACAATTATAAACCCGTAAGATTTCTCCAGGATCTGCAGATAAGGTAAGAAAAACAAGAAATCTGGTTTTATTCTTTATTTTATAGCTGCTTTTACAGTTAGTTCAAACGACCTGCACTCCAAACAAAGATAACCATCAAATATATTAATAATTACAACAATTGATGTCTTTTAAATACAACATTAGACTTGGCTTTACGGTTGTCTGTTGATATACATTTGTATTTTAGAATAATACATTCTAGGAAATGAGTTCCATCAAAAACAAGATAACATATGAACACTTTTCACACACTCTGCAGTGAAACTTGGCTTTGCAGAAGTCCGTAAGCAGCACATACGTGTGGTCAGTGACTTTAAAATGTACAACGCAGAACCTTAAACAGTAATACTTGGTGCTCTTCACGTGAGGTATAACTTATGACCTGCATAACTTTCTATCTGCTCCTAAGTAGACTAAATCAGAAAGGAAACACGTCTCTTCTACCACAAACAAAAACAGCATCATAAATGTCAAATAAGCACAAACCGATCAACGTCCCTCTGATGCGGCAGTCACCATCTAACCAACACCAATATTAGCAGGAATATCGAGAAATTAACAATAAGAACAGCAAAGATAGTGGCTCGGAGGTCACAAAAGGAATATTTAAGCCATCAAATAAACCGTTTTAAAAGTAATGTTTTCTTTAAGAAGGACAAAAGGATGTCGTCTGCGTATAAACTGACTTTTTTTTGGTCTGTTGTAGTTTTCAGGGACACAATTTCATCTCTATAAATAAAAAAATATAACAATAAAAACAAAACAAATTAGGAATAAATGCAGATTTTTCTTGAGAGTCAAAGTTTTTATGTTTACTGTTAATATACGTTCATCCACCCGACAGGAGACACTCAAACGGCAGCCATTTTCTCAAAAAAAACGTTTGCAGCAGTTTAGGTATCACGTTCTAATATCAATAAACTAACAGCCTTAATACTGGTTGATAAATCAGTGAGAGGCTTCATTAATAAAAACTAATTGTCAGGTCACGTCAGGTAGACCCGGCAGGGTATCTCGATGCTCCACTAATAATCCATTTGTTGATTATTTATTATTAATCTTTTGGTCCGTAAAACGTCAGAAAAATGATAAAAGTCAATCGCAGTTTCCAAAATGTTAAATTTAACATCCCAGAAGACAAAGATAACCATCAAATATTCACGTTTGACATTTTTGCTTAAAAAAACTAATATATAATAGTTTAATAGCTGCAGTTTAACTTCCTGTTGATCGACAAAGATTCACAGATTTTATGGATTCATTAAGAAAGTTTGTGAATAGCCCTGTTTCCGTCCAAATGTTTAGCACATTTTAAACAAATTTCAAGTAAAATCGGCGAAGAAAATGTGCATTAACGCTCGTTTCCATCCACGACTGTTACGTGATTATAATGGATAGATGGCTCACAAGATGAGCAGTAGGTGGCGCCAATTCTCCAGTCGGAAAACCAGAGGAAGAGGAACCAGAACAAGATGACATAAGTCCCTCCAGGATTTTGCAGACTTTTTTTGTGATGTTTTTAGGTATTGCTTTGCAATTAAATGTGCAAAAATAGTTGTGATTATTCGTACAATTCACGAAAAATGTAAGGCAACTTGATACTTTCATCATATTGCTGTTTTCGGTCTGTCTATGGTTACTCTAAATGTCCCTGTCAAATAAATAAATAATAAGTGAAACTCAACTGCAACTGAAATTGCAAAATAATGCAGAATTCATGCAACTGGTTGAATTCACGTTGACTGTTGCAACTTCCTGGGGGGGCAGATTAAAAGAGCGTCGGCTGAACCTGAAGAAACAAAGCAGAACACAGGACGGAAATATGGCGTTTGTGTAAGTTTGATGTATTAAAGTGAGGAATCCATCAGATCTGTGTGCAGAGATCAGGGAGTTAAATGTTTGCTACATCAGAACGTATTCAGAAAGTGTTCTTACTCTCGTTTAGAGAATTTACTCTTACTGAAAAACACAAAAAACACGTCAGGAGAGCATAAAGACTTTTTTTCCATCAAACGTTTCTAACACGACACTTCAAGAAGACTTACCAACGTTTCTAACTGCAGATATAACCAGCAGTAACATGGCTATACAAGATTTATTCACCATTAATGAAGCCATAAAGGTTTTGGATGTTGATGCTAGCATGAGATAATGTGTCTTCTCTTTTAACTGTACAGTACGCTCGTGCTGACGGGCCTTCAATCCAACAGCGTTTCATTTAGTTTTACTTTTACCAACGTTTACCAAACACATTTCTGAATGTATATGATAGTCGGGTTAGTCTGATTGTCTGTTTCTGTGACGCCGACCGGCTGAATGAATGACTGATGAGGAATACGAGCTTCATTTCACAGACATACAGTGCGAATGTTCAACTCAGATCTCTGACTGATGAAAGACTTCCTCGCTGTCGGCTAAAGTCTTAATAATTGATCATTTTTCAAACAATAATGTGAAATGTTTGCTGATTCTTCAATGTGAAGATTTGGGTTTTCGACTGTTGGTTGGAGAAAAGAAGCAGCTTTAAGGGGCCGATCACACAGATCACTGAGGGGTTCAGAAAACGCCGGGGGGGAACAGCTGGTTCACAACTGGGCGATCAAATTATTATACACTGGTTTACCCCCCCCAACCCCCCGCCTCACAGTCAAACAGCTAACTGACCTATTTTCCGGCATCAAAACTGGAAAGAAGTGCTTGTTTTTATTTGAACGGTCGGATGAATGTTGGTTTTTGGTGAAGATGTCTTTAGGGATGAAATAAAATAACAGTGTCATTAATGTGTCAAACTAAAGAACCAAATCTGTGACTCAAATCTGTGACAGTCATATTAATAAAAAATCCATCAAAATCAAATCTTTTTCATCTTATCACCCAAACCTGTCGACACTGAAGACTCGTAAAATTAAAGCTCACTGCTGCCGGGACCTGGAATCTGAATGTCGTTATATTTGGTCATAAAACCTCCTGTGTGTCTGTCTGTCTGTCTGTCCATCTGTCTGTCCGTCTGTCCGTCTGTCCGTCCGTCTGTCCGTCTGTCTGTCTGTC